AATGTCAATGATGAATAAATTTTGAAAAGGGCTAAAAAAAGGGCTAGGGGCAATTTCAAATTTTTGTGGCCAAAAAAAAGAATTTGGTAGCCAAATTTAGCCACCAAAGGGCTAAAACGGCAACACTGATTATCAATAGACTTGGACCATTATACATGTAATATAATAGACAATTGAATTGTTTTATGAAGTCTAACCCTATAATACCATCGCAAGGGATTGGAAAATTTTCGTCTACTATTTGGAAGTTGTGAATGATTTCTGAGTTATTTATATAAAGTGTAGCTGTAGTGGCACCTAAGGTTTTTATGGAACCATTTCCTATGCCTTTTAAATTGTAGATATGATTTGTATTTATTTGAATTTGATCATTTGCCGATGTTTTGTATATACTAATTTCCGAGCCTGTGTCTATTAAAAAGGTGGACTCGTAGTCATTTAGCGAGGAATTTACGGTGACGAAGTTACTAAATGACAAATTGATGTTTAATAAGTTCGCAGTGTTTAATTTTGCGCACTCCCCAGTTGGGCACTCTGGGGGTGCTCTGTGTTTTCCGATGCTTCCGTGTAGCGTACATTCCTGTTATGGTTATTACGGCCCCTATAGCTATTATTGTTATCGTTGTTTCTGTTTGGGTTGCCGTTGCTGTTATTATAGTTACTGTGGTTTCTACCCCGATTATTTCGGTAATGGTTTCTATAGTTTCTATTACCTCTGTAAGAATTATTTCCTCTAAATGAATTATTTCTCCTGTTAGAATTGTTCCCTCTGTATGAATTATTTATATAGTTTACCTGAAGGGTGCCTGAGCTTTCGGCCCCTAACTCAATGAATTTGGTGACTGCGTCACTAACTGTTGAGAACTGCCCTGCCCTCATTAACATTTTTACTTCATCAGACCTTGCATTGGTTCTTATCGCTTTTGCTGCCGAATGTGCTGAATAGTTTCTTGCCAACGCTGACGACATTCCATCGGAGATGTAAGCAAGCTCTAGTTGTTGTGCAAGGGATTCAATTTCTTTGGCGAAATCGCCGTCAGACTTGTTGTGTTGTTTTATGCCCAACAATTTCACTGCAATACTTTGTGAGGACTCGTGTTTCACGTTAGCGGTCAGTGTGCTTTTTATTGCCCCGATTGTTGCTTCATTCGTCAATAACCTGCTCGCTGTTTGGTTGAGTTTGGTTTTGATTAATGAAATTGCAATGCTTCCGTTATCTCCTTTGATCGAATCTAGTATGTCGAGTGCATTAATGAATTTGGTCAAATTTTCAGCTTTGCCATCAAACTCTGGCAACAGCTTTGTAGCCAAATTTATAAATTCTACAGGAGTCATAGTGGTCATTGTGTTAGTTTTTCCTACCTCTTCGTCTGATGTTTCTCCCCCTGTATCTTGGAACTTGATTATTAGGAATTTGTTTATCTCTTCCGGTACTTTGTCCCTATATTCTAAATGTTTGAAAATTGCTTCCAGTTTTGTTTTGATTGAGGAAAAAAATTTTATGAATTCTTCCTGGTGATTGGTGCTTAGGAATGGGTAGACTGTCTTGCTGAGGCCTGTGATCGTATTATGCTGATAAACCAGTGTTCTTAAATGTTTTATTTGAGTGTGGTTGGAGGGTACTGGTGTCCTATTCAGGCATTTGTACGATCTATCAAATTCTGCCTTAATGCTTCTGAGTTTATCTGTTATGTCCCTCCACGTGACAGGACTTGTCATTTATGGGTTTTGCAAAATCGACATAAAGTTTACTATTTTTTAAATCCTTGGCGTTGTAGCCGTTATTTTATTGTGTTTGTATTTAAAATAACTTTTTATTAATGAGTACAGAACTGTGATTGTTAACAACATGACAATAATAATAATAATGTGTGTAATATTCATTCCTGATTCGTTGTGGTTTAAAATTGGTTCATTATGCTGGTTAATTTTTTCGGCTAACTTTTCTATTTTTTCACCTTGTCTGTCTTTTCCAACCTCGTAACCAGACACGGCTATTAGTATTGCACTAAATGCTTTCTTCCACCAAGACATTATGTATATATTTTTTCAAGATAGTCATAGACTAATCATAGTTCATGATATTTTCTTAGTTCAAATTTTTTTTTTGCCTTAGTTTAATGTTTTTAATTAATGTCTTTGTTATAACAGTTATTTTGTTGTTTAATACAACTTTCAAGGGATATGCAAAATATGATAAAACTTAATGCTTAATTTTTATTATTTCATTTTAAGTTTTATTTGTGTGTGTGAGTGTACATTCTTGTGTTTTTTTATTTACAATTTTACAATATTTTTTTTTGGACCATGTCCCATGGCGGAGGATTAACTGCTTCTTCTGCTTGGGAGACCTTGGCGTGGAGTACCACCAGCTTCTTCCTCAGTGCAACCACCTTGCCGGCACGCTTGTGTTTTGGTTTTGGTAGCACAGGTATCCTCGTTAGTTTTTCTTCCTGTGCACGGCCCTGGCGTCTCTTATTCCTCTACGGTTATCGGCCTGGGTTGTGGAGTTGGTACTGAAGTGTCACCTATTTTCCTGATACGTATGGGCAGGATCGCCATGAAATAGATGGCCTTACTTTGCCATCAAGTGCTTAGCCTTATATAGATTGTGCTGTGGACAGAGCTCTCAAGAAAGCCGCCTATCCAATCTAATCTTGTCTTGTCACTATGGGTGAGTGCCAAAGAGCAAGTTAGATTTATTAAAATGAAAAGTGTTGTATGTTTTATTACGTTTTAAAATCAACGGTGTTTATTGAATGATTTTCAGTAACTAAACTACTTATGAACTTACTTCTACTTATATAGCGTTGAAAACAATATCCAATCGATGACTAACACATTTGGTAAATGTGTCAAACTATTTTGGTATCAATTGCTTTTGGACCTTCCACTTGGGTTTCTCTTGTGATCATATGTCATCGCATACGCTGCAATGAAATGCAATAAAGGAATGAACGTTAAAGGGTTTATGACCCCAGAACGGTCATATGTCTGTTTGGCTTATCGTTTGGTTATTGTTTCCACGTTTACCTACTTTTGACGAAAGTCACTACACCCCATTGCAGAGTGTTCGCATGCATGGGTTGCAAGCAGCAAAATTATGTATCAAATACAATAACAAGAGACAGCAAAAAAAAACTAAGTGAGCGAGATGAGAGGAATGAGAGAAGTATGTAGCAATTCCAACAACAAAACAACTACCACATGGTGGCATTTATCTTGCTATGCTATTTTGCAAAATATATACATGGGTTTCGACGTTGCATATTTTGCAGCGATAGGAAATGTTGTTTCCCATGTATTTTGTTGTTGTGTGTTTGCCAGTTATGCAATTCATGCTATCCGTGCTACATGCAATGGCTTTGCAAGATTTGGAGAATACCCCTACTGTGTGACTGATAAGGTTATAGATCTATTCTCTTCTTCTTCTTCTTCTTATTTGGCGCTGTAAACGAAAATCCTCTACTTTCTCGAAATTATAACTGTTAAAAGTGACGTGGGTGACAAGGCGCGAATGTGCTGCTTGTTTGTTTGATGACAGGAGATACTTCGTCTTGTCCTCGTTTACCACCAGACCCATTCGCTTTGCTTCCTTGTCCAACTTGGAAAAGCCAGGATAGACTTCGCGGTTTTTCTTACCGATGATGTCAGTGTCATCGGCATAAGCCAGTAATTGTACGCTCTTGTAGTAAATTGTTCCTGAGCGGTTCAGTTCTGCAGTTCTTATTATCTTCTCCAACGTCAGATTAAAGAAGTCACATGAAAGAGAGTCGTCCTGTCTGAAACCCCGTCTGGTGACGAACGGCAACAGATCAGAGCTGGTGGTCTTGCTCAACGTCGTTTTTCACAGCCGTATGAGTTTTGAGGGGTTGCCAAATTCAGATATAGCGGCATATAGGAAACTCCTTTTAGTGCTGTCGAAAGCGGCTTTAAAGTCGACAAATAGGTGGTGAGTGCCGATCCTTTTCTCGCGGGTCTTTTCCAAGATTTGGCGTATTGTGAATACCTGGTCTATGGTAGACAATACATTCGATAAGACCTTGCAACCGATGCTTAGAAGGCTGATGCCGCGGTAGTTGGCACGCATTGCGAGGTCGCCTTTTTGTGGATTGGGCAGAGCGCACTTGAATTCCAGTCGTCGGACATGCACCTTATTACCTCCTTGCCATCGTAATTAAATAGCTCAGCTGACAGGCCGTCAGCTCAAGCAGCTTTGGCACTTTTCGTTATAGTCAGGCGCTGGGATATTGACTCCATCGTCATCGACTGGGACCTCGGGTTCGTCTTCTCCACTTCTTTCAGTGCTTCTGCCATTCAAAAGGGTCGAAAAGTGTTCCCTCCATAATCTGAGTACTTTCTGGACCTCGGTCACTAGGTCGCCATGGTTGTTCCTACAAGAGTCTTGAAACCTTCCGTAAGTCGCTCAAATCTCTGCTAAAAATTTCGGCTGTTTTTTCTGTCGGCCAGCATTTCAAGCATTTCCTCACACTCCTCATCGTACCAGTAATGAGCGGGAAATGTGGTGCCACTGATCGCGCAAGTCGGTTTGTTGAAGAGTGCTCTCTCACAGCAGGTGTGAGGGTCGAGCGCCGAATCCATTGGCCGTCTGTTTTGATTGCAGCTTTTCGTTGAACTTTCCTTGGATTGTTGGGCGCCCTTTTTTTGCTGCTCCGAGGTTGGGTCGTATATTGGAAGCATCAATATAGTAGTGTGAGTCGATGTTTGGCCCTCGGAGTGTACGTATGTACATCTAAAACATGGAAGCATTCCTTTCGTCTATCACAACATCCTCGATTTGGTTTCCCGTTTTTCGATGTGAAGACAACCATGTAGCTTGATGGATCTTTTCATGCTAGAACCCAGTAATACATACTGCCAAGTTTCGGCCCCGGCGAAGTTTATCACCCTCAGCTGATATGTACGCTCTAATCTAAGAGAGCCTTGGATGCCTTGTCCCTCTCTTCCGTCGGGGCATTGGCACATATGAATGAGATGTTGAAGAATCTCGCTTTGATGCGGATTGTGGCTAGACTTTCGTCCACTAGAGTGAACGCCGGTCTCTCTCCCACCACAAATCCAACACCGAATTGCACTCCTTTACGTGGCAACTGTAGTGGACGTCGCAAGGCTCCACGCTTACTTTCCTCGCCCCGTCCATCGCGACCCTAGGACATCAACCAGCCGGGCAAAGGCACCATCCCGATTAAGGGTTCCAAGTGCATACCCTGAAATCATAGTCCTTCCTATGTTTGCCGTGAACGTCATCAAAAGAAGGGGGTATCATCCGAGGCATGTGTTTTTTTTCATTGGGCAGGGTTTTAACGTGGCGGGACCCAAACCCAGCGCACGCGGGCCACTCCCAGTTGAATGGCAGTCAAAAGCTTTGCAGTACTGGGAAATGTACAAAACATAGTGGTCAAAAGCGAATATCTCAACTAAACCCTGATGTATTTTTTAAATTCATAGTTCTACATACCTGTATAGTAAACCAAATAGCCGGACCAGACGTTATTCAAAATAAAAAACGTAAAAAGATAAACTTTTTTCCGTATACTCTGTAATATTCCTCCGCAATTTTGTAAGGTAAACTAATAATTTATAATCATTGCTTTGCAGCGAAATATCTTCTCTTAAATTATATACATAGGTATGTATAAATATGAGGACGTATAGAAGATTTAGAGTATGCAGATTTTTTATGCTGGTATATTCATTTATGCTAAATATATTACAGCGTGGCGACGAATAACTGTTACCCAGGTTGTTTTGAAATATAAAAAGAATCCTTTATAGATTTTGCGAAAAAAGTATTTTATTGTTAATTTTCCACAGATTTTACAATAGCTGTATTAGTTAGTTTTTAAATTTTAATCCTTATCTACATTTGCCAGCAGTGTAAACTTTGAGAGAAAAGTTCATTTGGCACGCACGTCTTTTTCAGGTGTATTTTTTCTTAGGCTTTGTATAAAAAAAATACAAAAAAGAAAAAGACTGTATAAGGTTGGTCGAAAGAATTGCCGTCCTAGTCACCAGTTCCGAGTCTGTTCGATTTTTGAGTATGAGGCGTTATGTTGGACAGAAGGGGGAGTATAAGGGACTCAAAATGGAGAAAATTAGCCTATGGTTACAGAAGATATGGAATAAATTAACTGACGAGGACCTGCGTGCCAAATGAACTTTTCTCTCAAAGTTTACACTGCTGGCAAATGTAAATAAGGATTAAAGTTTAAAAACTAATTAATACAACTAAAGTAAAATCTGTGGAAAATTAATAATAAAATACTTTTTTCGCAAAATCTATAAAGGGCTCTTTTATTTCCAAAAAGACCTGGGTAACAGTTATTCGTCGCCACGCTGTACATTTGTGTTGTTTATTGGCGGTTTAGTATAATTTAATAATTTATTTTTGAGCTATAGGCCGTATGTTAAATACAGCATTAAATGTTTTTCTGTTTTATTTACTTTTTAGTTTTATTTTGGTCGATATTTCGCCTTCAGTCTGAAGGCATCTTCAGGAACTACTAGCTTTGTCCAGTCGACCGGACAGAGCTAATAGTTCCTGAAAATGCCTTCAGACTGAAGGCGAAATATCGACCAAAATAAAACTAACAAGTAAGAAAGTCTAAGTTCGGGCGGAGCCGAATATTAAATACCCGGCGCAAGAAAATTGGATTTTCTCATACAAGCTCTTGGCCAATCCTTATCCATTCGTCCTGAAATATACTAGTCAGAAAAAAAAGAGAACCATTTTGAAATATGAGTGTTTCTACGCTCTAGAAAATAATTTCTACAACTTCACATACGCGGTTTTGCATTTTGTTCATACGCGGTTTTGCACTTTAAACGACGATATGTATATCTTCTTACGCATTTTACTTCGGATATATGATTATTTGGAGACATTAGATATTGTGAACAAACAAGCTCTTAAAATCAACGGTAATATAAATATACATATCTGTAAAATAGATTTATATAATATATTAAATAGTAAATCCTCGAAATTATACCAGTATGTAAACGAATTCCCAGTGTTTAAAACAGATGTGCAAATTTTATATTGCAAAGTGTGCAGCAAAAACGTGTCGCCTGATAAATTATTTTTCATAAAACAGCATTTGCAGACAGCTTCTCATATTAATGGGGTGCAAAGGATGCAAAATCTGGAGACAATGCGCAACAGTTCTTACAAGAAAGCTTCACCTCTGGCAGTTCACAATTTAATAAAGATTTGTGCGAGGGATTTGTAGCAGCAGATATTCCACTCTGTAGAGTGAGAAATCCACATTTTAAAACTTTTTTGGAAAAACACACCAGCTTCAAAACGCCTTGCGAAACTGCTTTACGAGCAAATGTTGAAAGTTTGTTTTCGTCAACAATAAGCTATATAAAGAACGTGGTGAAAAAACATTATATTTGGGTATCGATTGACGAATTCACTGACACTGTAGGTAGGTACATTGCCAATGTCATAATAGGAGTATACGACTGTGAAGGACATTTTTCTAGAAAACGTTTTTTGCTAAATACCGTGCTTTTGGAAGAGGCAGACCAAAGTTGTATAGCAAAAGTATTCGACCACTCTATTAGGATTTTGGGCGTCGATTATGACAGGAGTAAGATTTTATTACTGGAAACAGATGCAGCACCATATATGAAAAAAGCAGCTAAGGCCATTGAAGTTTTTTATCCTAAAATAACGCACGTAACTTGTGTCGCTCATGGACTGAATCGAATTTGTGAGGAAATACGAGATCAGCATCCTTTGGTTTTATTTCAAATGCGAAGAAAATTTTTCTAAAATCACCGGCACGCATAAGAATATTTAAAGTCCGCTTCAGATCTACCACTCCCCCACGCCCAATAATAATACGGTGGGGGACGTGGCTTGACGCCGTCAGCTATTACGCACAAAACTTAAACACTTAAAAACTCATCTTTATTAGTTACGTTTTGTTAGCTTTTGCATATGTAATTATACCGTACGTTCTGTTCTTATTGTAGGTGCAAGAGTTGCCACACATACTGAATACAGGAATAATGAAAGACATAGAACAAATGTAAGCGCTAATACATATCGATCTGCAGA